TGTCTCCACCTAATTTCACAGCTGGATTTGTGCTTCGATGTGGACTACTGATCTGCTTTCAGTACATATTTAAGCAGGGGAAGGAAGAATTGGATAAAATTGGCAGGGTAGAGAGTGGACATCATCAGAACAAGAGGACCATACCATGAGAGGGGTCTTAGTATCCAAAGGAAAGTTAGGGTTGGTAGAAGATGAGCATTAAGCTAGAGGAGATTTCTGCTGTCAGGTAATTGTGCACGTAGGTGCTTCTCCATTAAGGCCCTCCTAAAGGATCAGATGGTTGGGCAATCTACTTCCATAGTGATACTGCCTCGGAAGTCCAAGGAGGGGTCACTATGAGTCGGGACTGGACTGTACATAACAACAAAAGGATCAGGCAATACCCCCAGGAGGCAGTATTTAGGGACCTGCCGCAGATGACACAGCAATGACCTTTTATAGGTCATTTATAGGTATAAACTATAGAAATGTCAGTGCAAGAAGGAATTAAGCAGGAGCTTTATATAGCCTGACATCAGTCCCAATGCCCCATCCCTGCCTGCATTTAGGACTAGGTGTAGTGACAGATCCTTCCACCATTACCTCTTCCCTCCCAAATTAAAGTATGCTCAGAGATTCTGAATAAGTAAACAGTTCAATACACTGTCCTTGATGTTGTTGGGTGCCGTTGAGACCATTCCAAGTCATGACAACCCTATAAGACAGAGTAGAAGTGCCCCATAGAGTTTTATTGGCTGCATTCCTTACAAGAGAAAATCATCAGGCCTTACTCCAGTGGAGCAGCCAGTGGGTTTGAACCACTGACTTTTGGTTAGTAGATGAGCGTTTAACCACTCCAACACCAGCACTGCTTTTTTGATGCACTGTCTCAATCTTCTCATGAGTTCATCTCTCATGAGTTTTCCTTGGTTCTCCACAATTTTATAGTTTTATTGTATTTTATGAGTTTATATTCTAGCATATGTTATGCTATACTATACATATAGAAGCTCTGGTGGCACAATGGTTAAGCCATTTTGGCTACTGACAGAAAGTTTGTTGATATGAACCCACCAGCCACTCCATAGGAGAAAGATGAGGCAATCTGCATCCTTAAAGTTTTACCACCTTGGAAATTCTGAGGGGCAGTTCTCTTGTGTCCTTATAGGGTTATTACGAGTCAGAATTGACTCAGTGGCTTGGGTTTGGGTGTGGTTTTGGTTTTATACTTTATGTATAGCATATTATGTAGTCTCTGAAGGTACTATGGGTGCTCTGAAGGTGCTATATTAGATTCGTCCTTTAATTCTTCAGTAAAGTCCATGAAACATTGTGGGTCAGCAAGAATGGGAAAGGAGAAATGAACACATTCCCTTTCCTGTTTTTATTTTCCCCTAACATATATCAGAGTTTTTCTTATACATTGAATTTTCTGTCTCTTGCAGGTTTTCACAGTCTTAATAGTGCAGATTAATCTTGTAGATATGTATGTGTGCAAGATTGGTAGGCATGGTATAGATTCATTGACTCCTATCTCCAAATATATCTGCTTAAACCAAAAGACTTGAAATTAATACATTTAATATCTATGGACTTGTCTTGTTCTGAAGTGGCCTATTTTGAAGTCTTATTTATTCATGCTAATAGAGGAATATTGATGTTATAAATAATGCAAAAATCACTTGCAGTTGACTGGGTTATATATTGTATATTTTTCATCAGACTTAGTTTCTTAATTGTTTGCCCTATTTATGACACAAATGAGCTAACATCATGAGTACTTAACAAATGATGATTGGTGGAGATGGCCAGAAGCATTCTATGTAGTTGGAAAATCCAATCTAGTATTAGAAACTTGCTGTGTAAAATTCACATGTACATAATTGATATTTACCCTTTAACAAGGGACTGTATCTTGTTAGGCAAAAGAGACCTGAAAATATGCAGTATTTTGCCTATAATCTTTTTTAAAAAAACAATTTAAACAGAATTTTACCTTGATATCTTATACCTTGATAATGTGAAAAAATTGAATTATCATGTATATGTACTGATATGAGAGTGAAATTAATATCTATCTGGAGAAGTAACTTTACACATCTATGAACTGCCAATCAGGATTCAAATGGAAGAATTTAGTTCAAGTGAACAGAAAAAATGAAAGTCAATAATATAAATAGACAGCATGCAAACTGAATCCAAAGTAAAGAATTATTTTCCTCTACTATATTTATTTGTTGGGAGCTCTGGTAGTGTAGTGCCTAAGGCATTTGACTGCTAACCAGAAAGCTGGTAGTTCAAACCCACCAGCCACTCCTCGAAAGGAAGATTGAACAATCTACTTATCTAGTGATACCGCCTCAGAAACATAAGGAGGGTCACTATGAGTCAGAGTCGACTTGACAGCAGTGCATATATATATTCATTAAGGAGCTCTGGTGGTGCAGTGCATGAAGCATTTGACTGCTAACCAGAAGGTTACTGGTTCAAACCACCAGCTGCTCTGAGGAAGGAATATGGGGCAATATACTTTGTAAAGATTTACCACCATGGAAACTCAAGGAGGTTCACTATGAGTTGGAATCAACTTGATAATAGTGGGTTTTGGTTTATATATTCATGAATTATCCTCAAAAATGCAATCTACTTTAAAATGTTATCCTTAACATTTGTGATATGTTACATGAAAGGTACCATACAGAGAAAATTACCTATTAGTATGTCCTCCAGTGTAATTCCTTGTATAATTCTTATATTCAAATAATGTTTATTCCAAAGTGCTATTTTTATATCAAATAATCAGGTATTATGCCTTATTTCTAGTTTTAACTATCAAATTTCTCAGGAAGTATGGATTAACCATATTATGAAAAATTTTGCACATTCTTTGATAAAGGCAATATAAAGATGTTTAAAATGTTTTGTTATTGACTAGTCTCTTGAATCATACATTAGAAATATATTGTTTTTAATAATTTTTGCATCTTTGGCTCATACCTTATGTCAAGGGTTCAAAAAGTTACGAGTAGAGAAATAAGATTCATAAATTTGTGACTCTGAAAATCAGTTTTTATATCACAGTGTGGGAGCAAGCTGGAGAATTTCTTTTATGTGAGTCATTTCTGTATAAAGCTATAAACTTTTTTTTTTTAAACCAAAAGCTGTCATAGTTTCTTGTAAAATAATAAAGATATCCATTTTAATTGATTCTTTTCATTGTTTAATAAAATTGCTTTGTTTGATTGCTAAAGAATTTGAATTGAGTTTTCATTACCCACTTCTGAACAATTTACTCTAAGATCCAGACAGTATTGAGCTAATGAGTTTGAATTTATATTGAAGCTTAACTGTCTTCATGAACTAAATGGAAAAAAATCATGGTAGTAACTAAGTATTCTTCATTAAAAACTATGTCATAGAGATTTTACAATGAGGCTTTTAATAGAGCTAAAGGATTTAAATTGGAGTTTTACCAAGTTTGCTATATTCATGCATATTATGAGTATATGGTTTCTTTTCTTTCAAGAAATGAAGAACTCATAAGCTGACAGATATTTCAGAAATTTTCCTTAAAGTGGGCAAATTTTATATTTAAAAACTTAGGTTAAATAATGAGCTAATGTTAAAATTAATGTTAAATTTATATGATTTGGGAGCATTCCTAAATTGAAAGGATTTGTAAACAATTTCCCAAGAGTAATCTCTTAAGATGTTTTGGATCTAGTTAAGTCTAAGACAATGCCATCAGCATTGAAATGCAAGCTCTCATATGCATTGTTTTGACTTTGTCATTGACATTGCCACAGTCATAAATCTATATACTCTTTAGTTGAAAACAACTGATGTATTTATTGACACATTCATGTACCTCCCTCCTTGTGTAAACCTCACATGCAACTAATTTATTGCCTTGACATTGTTATGATCTTTCCTAAAGTGATCTTTTGGCTTTTCTGTACAGAGGCTAACCAAGTTGGGCATTTAATGATTCCATATTTAGGATTTTCTGTGGAAATGTTAGGCTGACTGGTGACTAGAGTACCATTTAATACAAGGATAACTTTACATGCTGTGTATATCAGTATGTTTCAGTTCCAAGGAGTAATTAATTTCCTAGGTACATTGTAGAGACCATTGGACATCAAGTTGGGTAGTCAAAAAGGATTAAACCCTGAAAATAGGCTAAATGTTTTAGAAATATTATTTTTCAAAATTTTGAGTTGATCAAATCTAAGAAATATAAAAACAAGAAGAAAAAATGGTCAAGGGGCAATATATTTACTTCAGCTTATTTCACTAGAAATCAGTTACTATCACAATCTCTAAATGTGACATGCTTTTTTTAAACCTCATTTCAAATCAGTCAGTGGAAGATTTGAATAATTTTGCATCAAAATAATTTATATTACATCCCTACAGGGAGCAGTGATGATTCTTGGGATAAGGAAACAGTGCACTGTCCCCCTAACCAGGGATTGCAGGCTACTCTTACCCACCCTTGCGTGTCTGGAGCACGTTGTCTGCTAGTTAGTCATCCTCTCAACCATCTTCAGCAGAACCACCTTCTGCCAAATTGTAAAATGGCATTTCTTAACTGAGTTTTACAAAATAATCTTTATATTTATTGAATAGTAAAATAGGACACAATTAGGTGGCATACTGCATTTAGACAAGCAATTACACTAAGTTAAAGAAAACCCTCATATGTTAAACAAAATTTGGACTGATCACAAAAATAATATAGCAGAGACTTGACCATTTGCATTAAACATATGAAAATCAGTGATATGATAAACCATGGTACTAAAGTAGCTTGAAGCCTAATTTTCCTGAGTGGTGAGTATGTGTCACTGCATACAAAGAATGTTTCTCCTTTGCCTGTGATTACTATTATCACAGTATTTTTTATTGCTTCAATTTTTGATGATTTATATTCTAATGATTGTAATAAAGGAGATTTACCATGTTTTATAATTTTATTTGGAACAGAACAATGATGATATATGTGTATTTTTTTGCAGGACTAGAACTTCCTTTTATGATGATGCCCCACCCTCTAATTCCTGTCAGCCTACCTCCAGCATCTGTCACTATGGCAATGAGCCAGATGAACCACCTCAGCACCATTGCAAATATGGCGGCAGCAGCACAAGTTCAGAGTCCCCCATCCAGAGTTGAGACGTCTGTTATTAAGGTAATTGTGTTGTGACACAATTGTTTTGGCTGTTTACTTTAAGTAACCATCTCTTAACCAATATTTCTTACTCCTTGAGTAATTTTCAATTCTGAAAAGCTAAGTGACAGCAAGGAGATGATGGGAAAAATCACTTGCAGTACTTAGCTCTTTGAGTATAGTATGTAGGCAGGCCAGTATTATTTCTTTCAAGAAGACAACAAGGGTTGAATTTGTCTTCTGCCACGTACTAAATTTCTGGATCACTTTGGATATATAAATCTTTCAGATTCTCTGTTTTTATATTCAAACTGTGTAGATTTAATAGCTAATTGTTGTTGTTGTTGCTAAGTGCCGTCGAGTCGTTTCCGACTCATAGCGACCCCATGCACAGCAGAACGAAACACTGCCCGATCCCGCACCAGCCCCACAA